CAAGTGGGCATTTGAAGGCATAGACGACGTTAGTCTCTTTTAAAGCGTTCTGTTTTGTGTCTGGAGAGTTTCTCATGAGTAGGCTGGCCGTTTTTCTGGTTTTATAGTAAATCGTCAGTTGTATCCTCTGATTTTTGTCTGTAGGGATAACGTTTCTATTAACAATATCTTTCAGGACCCTTTCCTCCGTTTTATGAGCTGTGGAAAAGAAGTTCCTGTAAAATAGTCTAATAGGGGGTATAGGTGTTGTGTTAGTTGTCTCTTCAGAGGTTGCATGGCTTTTCACTTTCCTTCTTATGATGTCTTCGATTAAACCATTGGAGAAGCCGTTATTGACTAGGACCTGCCTTACCCTATGATACTTGTGTTGATACTTTTAATACCCTATTAATATCCCCTCCTGTTCTGTCTTGTGTTAATGCCACATCACCCTTCCCACCTCACTCAAATGTAGATATAATATCAGAGAGACGTAAGTTCTAATCAGTTGTGTATTTGTGAAGTCTTTGAAAATGTAATAAGTTTTACGAAACGCGCCCGTGTCGCGTCAGACTAGAAATAAAAATGAATTTTGGAGAAGTGATTTTTGATTTACCTCCAACAGTGAAGCGTAATGTACGAAAGATTGAGAAAATTCGTGTTAGAATTATTAATCTTACTTTTTCGGTCATATTTAATAATATATGTCTACAGGAAAGACTGCTACCAAAATATACTAATATATATATATATATATATATATATATATATATATATATATATATATATATATATATATATATATATATATATTCAGATGTTTATTCAGGTAAGGTATATACATACAAGTGATGTTACATTAATGGATTGATATATAGATAGAGCTAGTACATACAATGCCTAAAGCCACTATTACGCAATGCGTTTCGGGCAAGAAAACATTAATATCTAGAACTTAATACTAATTGAGCATAAAGAATAAAAGATGTTGAGAACAAATACAAATAAAGATAAAAAAAAAGGGGGAACATGACTGAAAAAGCAGCACAAATACAATAGGTTGACAAACAGTGTTGATTAAAAAAAAAAAAAAAAAAAAAAAAAAAAATAACAGACATGGGTTGACAATAGAGGAGTGAGGTAGATTACAGGGAATTTATTAGGTAGTGTTTAGTTTTTATCTTAAACTAAACTATCTTAAACTAGTTGATTATGCAATTCACATAAGAATAGAGCGACCTACCATGAACACCCAAATCACGGAACTATTTACTCTACCCACCATGAGAGTAAGGACAAGACAAGAACATATCGATGCCACCACAGAAGACAATGTCCAACATAACAGGCCAATTACACTGGATTAATCTTTGTGTTTAGATAGGAGATGCCTCGTATGGGCCAATAAGCCTTCTGCAGCCCCTATGTTTATCCCTTATGTATCCCCCCATGTTTTTCACCTTCATTGTATTATCACCTGACCTAATGCGGGTATAAAATCAACTAGTATTGTAAGATCTGTTCACTTGAGAATGAACCATGGAGGTTCGAAACGTCGTGCAAATTATACAAATAAGTGTAATACACTCTATAGTAAATCACTTCTTTTCTTCACCTTAAAAGTACGAAAATGAGTTTTGGAGAACTCCTATTCCAATTAAGCCCTGATGCTAAGAAAATAGTTAGAGGGATAGAAGCCCTAAACCAGAAAATAATAAATACAGAATATGCGGTCATATTCAATGAAACATGTTTGAAAGAAAACCTGCTGCCAGTATACCAATATATATATATATATATATATATATATATATATATATATATATATATATATATATATATATATATATATATATATATATATATATATATATATAAATATATAAGCCTATACTTGCATAAACCACAAGTGAAGATTAACAATCTTTGGACAACACCCACCAGTGGGCCTCGAACCCAGAAAGCACAACTACCTTCCAGTAGCTGCCATAAGTAGTACGCCTTAACCCACTACACCATCAGACCCTACAAAAGAAGTAGAGACTTCGAGATATATATACACCTCAAATATCTCCACTTCCCGAGGGCACTAGACAAGTGAGAGGTTACTATGCGTTTTTCATCAAGCCACTGTTAATGTGAGAGAACTCGTGTCCATGCTATAAGCCTATACTTGCATAAACCACAAGTGAAGATTAACAATCTTTGGACAACACCCACCAGTGGGCCTCGAACCCAGAAAGCACAACTACCTTCCAGTAGCTGCCATAACTAGTACGCCTTAACCCACTACACCATATATATATATATATATATATATATATATATATATATATATATATATATATATATATATATATATATATAACATTAATAATTTTGTAACTAGCGTCAAAAATTATTTGCTTAGCTATGCTGCACCCATGCTTGCTCTAGTGCCTGAGAGAATGCTTGGAGGGTTGAAAAAGATGCAAAACGAAGCCATGAGGAAAATCCTCGGATGCCCCCGTACAACTAAATTAGTAAACATGAGGAAGGAACTGAATATTTCATGTGTAAGTGATCGTATCACTGAAATTAATGCTTTAATTGGTATCAAGATGCTTAGGCTAACCCACCCTAACCCCTGCACTGAAGCCCTCCAAGCCTTCTTCCTTGAAGATCAGCATCCCTCCAAATGGATTACCGTAACTGCCACTGTGCTCAGAATGTATAATATTCATCACCCCAACCAAGAGAGACAACAACAACACTTTCCTGCCCCATGGGAGATCACTCCTTTCCAAATTACCGTCCCCCCTTTCCCACCCAAGAAGCTGATTAAAGAACAAGCCATGCTTCGACAAGAAGCAAAGTACAATGCCTTAAGGCAAATTGATGCTTTAGTCAGAGAGCGCTCCCTTTCCCAGATTATTTACACTGATGGATCCTTGCACCAGTCCCATGTTGCAGCTGGAAGTGCAGTTGTTGTGACAGGGAGAGATGGTTCCATCTCCCATGAGTGTGGAGCGCGTCTAAGTAACCGGGCCTCCACTCTTCAAACAGAATTGGTTGCCATAATCCTTGCACTCGAGCGCGTATATGAATCCAAAGTTGACACGCTAATTGTAAGTGACTCCTTGTCATCCTTGACTGCCCTCAGCTCCCCAAGGCGTAACTGTGACGTGCTTATCTCTGAAGCTAGACACAGATATAGTGAAATAATCAATGATGGAGTCAGAGTTTGTCTCCTGTGGATTCCTTCCCATATTGGTCTCCGAATGCACGATAGAACTGATGAGATAGCCAAGACTTTTGCTCGTAGAGGGAATTGATTACCAACTTGGACTGCCTTTGAGCAGCCTGAGGGCAGCAATATCCCAGGAACATCAACTAAATTTCGGAGACTTGAGGCAAAGTGAAATTCACACCAGTTACTCCATCTATCATCATTCTATATGCATGAAGAACCGCACGTCTATGGGTCATCCAATAATGTTAGCAGACTTCTAGATGTTGCCACTGCTAGGCTTAGGCTCGATTACAAGTACCTCTGGGAGTTTGTAACATCTGCTGATGTAGATTTGACTAAATGTAAACTCTGTCAGCAGAACTATTCGCATACTTTGCGTCATTACAATTACAATACAATACAATTTTATTTAGGTAAGGTACATACATACAATAAATATTTACAAGGATTGTTTAACTTATAGGTATAGCTAGTACATACAATGCCTAAAGCCACTATTACGCAAAGCGTTTCGGGCATAATTTTATATAATATAATAGAATATAATATAATATATAATAATAATATAATATATAATTATATAATAGAATGTGAAAAAGTTGCGGAATTTAGAGATAACACCATCAATAGTGTTCAAGAAATGTGTAAGTACTTCATTCATAATGATGTGCTGCCCGAAATCTTACCGAAGTATTCAGAATTTGCTTACTGTAGGTAATGTATACACATGACTAAAGCTGCCGCCCAGTTGGGTGGGTATGCAGGAAGACTAGTAACTTTTTTTTTTTTTTTTTTTTGAGATATATACAAGAGTTGTTACATTCTTGTACAGCCACTAGTACGCGTAGCGTTTCGGGCAAGTCCTTAATCCTATGGTCCCTGGAATACGATCCCCTGCCGCGAAAAATCGTTTTTTTTGACTTGTGTGACTTACTATAGATGTAAAGTGCCTTGTATAGTGACGGTTGTGAGCCTCTTGTAATGTCACTTGTGACACCTCTGTGTCACTTGTGACACAAAGATTATTGATGTGTGTATTTGTGTGGGTGATTAGATATGTATGTGTATGTATATATGTATACGTATATATATATGTACATGTATGTATGCGAGTGTGTACATGTGTATACAACATTAATAATTTTGAAACTAGCGTCAAACATTGTTATTTGCTCAGCTAAACGAACTAGAGGGTTCAGTTCCTGAACCGATTATGTGCCTCTGTAATCCTTTACACCACCGCCCACGGGATGGGTATGGGGTGCATAATAAAGAAAGAAATGCAGGCGATGAGTCACAATAACGTGGCTGAAGTATGTTGACCAGACCACACACTAGAAGTTGAAGGGACGACGACGTTTCGGTCCGACCATTCTCAAGTCGATCTTGACTTGAGAATGGTCCAGGACGGACCGAAACGTCGTCGTCCCTTCAACTTCTAGTGTGTGGTCTGGATCAAAGAAAGAAATTGAATTGAATTCTTTCTATAGCTAAGGTTAACTATAACTTTGTTAACTTCTAACCCTAGCTTATTATAGTTATAGGTTTAGTTAGTTTAGTTCATTTATTATGCACCCCATACCAATCTTGTGGGCGGTAGTGGAAAGGGTTACAGGTACTTACATTCTACCGTGTCAAATATATAACAACTTATTGTGTAATTGAATTACTCAGTTTAAGGAGCATTATATATATATATGTAATTATTATTAAATTATGTTATATTATTACATAATAATTATGTAATTATTAAATTATTATTATTAAAGGGGAAAGGATAGGTGCGTAATGCAAGTGTCAGTTGAGCGTCGGCGTCGGCGGTCGTCGGGTGTTGCTGCTCCTCGTCGCTGGGGTCCGGCGCCGCCTCTACAGGTCTCTTGTGCTCTACTTTTACTCTCAACGGCTCTGTTTACCCGCCCTCCTGCCTTGCCCACCTGGTTCACAGCTTCAGTCTGCGGATGTCATATGCACGCCAGGAGGTCAGTTTAGTTTAGTTCCATTATGCGCCCCCATGCCAGTAAGGCAAGATTATACTCGATTTACCTGAGGGGCCTCGACGAGGACAGGAAGCCGGCGGCTTGTCGAAGGTCCCCCCTACCCCCATGTGTAGGTTAAGATGATGTTGACCTACACAGACATTGACCGACTTCAGTTTTTTTTGTGTTAAAAAAAGGGTTAAATTTTAAGGCTTATTTCATCTCTACTCCCAACTAACTTAATCCTATTTTATCTTTATTTATAAATAAATAAATGTTTATTTAGGTAAAAGTACGTACAAGATGAGTTACAAGCAGAATGTTGGATTTCTAGATAGAACTAGTACATACTATGCCTAAAGCCACTAATATGTACAGCATTTTGGGCCTTAGAGGGCCGACATCTCTAGTGGTTTTTGGCGGTGACTGGTTGCTGGTTGTTTGTCAATGGTACTCCGATTATTCCTAAGGATTTTTCCAGCTGTGTTTTTTTAGCATTTAGGCATTGGCATTTATGGCTTCAGTGAGTAGGCGATTCCATGTGTGTGTTCATTAGTTTGACTTAAAAAATATTTTTCTGGTAAAGGTTTTACATATAGATCCCGTTTGTCTTTCTTCTGACATATAAATAATTTTGGTTTAATAAGTTATCAAGTTATTTAATAAGTTTTCAACAATATCTTCTTCTTGATAGTAGGTGCAGTTTGCATGAAGGGTTTGTCCTCCCGATGACTGCACCAGTACAGATGTTGGTAGAGGCGTTTATGTTGAAGAGTGTTTCAAAAGTGCTTGTTGCGTTGTGGTGTAGACAGAGGAGCGGCGACTAGAGCAGAGGTGTGTGTTAGAGGGAGACTTGCCGCACCGTAGGGCGGTGTGTTGTGTTTATGGCGTCAGCTGATCCATGGTGTTGCGATGAGGCAGTTGTTTTCTGTGTTTAGCTGTTGGTGGAGCCAGGTATAAATGTGGCGCGGGTCAGATGTGACCCAATTTGTTGGTCGATTGGAGATATTTAGCCAGTGCTTTGACTATTTGGTATTTTTCTTGTAACGAGTGGTCACCGCCTCCTAATATATGCTCGATGGTAAAGGGTATTTTAAGTGAGATAAGTACTTGTTTGAAATTTACTCTGGCACTATAATGTCGGAAGCAATGTAGGAGATAGTGTTCGATTGTTTCAGGCACCTGACAGTGGATGCAGAGTTCGTTGATGTCTGTTCTGTACTTAGAGCTGTGTGCTGCTAGTTTGGTGTGTCCCAGCCTTAATCTGGTCATCGCTATATCAATTTCTCTGCTTTTATATCTGATATATTTCCAAGTTTCCCATTTCTTATTCCTGGGGCATTCACCGATTCCAACATAGGCGACCCTTTTGGAAACGCAACACATGGGTTGACCCGATTGAGTCTGGTCATATTCTTACAGGGGTTGAGACACGTTTATTAAGTTAGAATAAATTATAATTAACGTCAATGAATTTACTGTGTAAAAACAGTAAAACAAAAGTTTTATATATTGTGACTTATTTGAGTTTGAAGCTATTGCCCCTTAATGTATTACATGGGACACTTTAAAGAAGCAGTCTGGATTATTATCTTCCTTAATGTTCAGTATTTACATAAATTGGCCCTAGGGTCTTTTAGTGGCCTCGACAAGGATATGAAGCTGGCAGATTGTCAAAGGTCCTCCCCCAATTTTCCTGATGGTTTTATTCAGCTGGATTTTGAACTGCAGCAGTGTTTTGAAATTTAATTCTTCAGCGGATAGGCAGTTCCATGGGTTTATAACCCTCTGGGTGAAAAAGCACCTTCTGTCTTACATTACGGCTTGTTGAGCTTGAAGTCATTACTCCTTATGTGTGTAACTTTGACTTTTTAAAGGTTCAAGTTGTAGTCTGGATCATTATCCTCCAAATTCATTATTATTTTAAATGTTTCCACGAGATCAGCCCTCACATCTGGTTGGCAATGGTAGTCTTGCCACCCTCAACTTTTCCTGGCATGGTTTGATTACGTTCTGGAATGATTTTGTGGCCTGGCGTTGAACTTTTTCCAATGTATGTGTCCTGGAAATGTTGTTTCCATGTTTAGATATAGTAGTCCAAATGGGGGGGGGGGCACCAGAAATTTGTACAGCTGAATAAGTAACTACCTTTCTTCCCAGTCAAAGATTCACCTGACTATTTTTTTTTTTAACCACTCCCACTTATTGTGCAACTTTCAATATTTGGTGGATTCTGATTCCACGGTACCATTCTTCATCAGTCTGATGCAAGATAATAGTCTGGATAATAGATAAATGGGCAAAATGCTGTGCGTATTAGTGGCTTTAGGCATAGTATGTACTTACTCTTTCTACAAATCCAACATTCTTCTTGTAACTTTTGTATTTATGTACTTTACCCAAAACTAATTATTATTATTAATTATTCTTTATTTATTATAATATTGATTTGGTAGTTTTGAAGTGCATTGTTAAGCCCTACATGAAAGGTCTTGCATTTTTCGAGATTAAGGAGCATTTTCCAGTCTTCTGACCATTCGTGAAGTTCATGTAGGTCTTTTTATCATTTTCACATTTTAACTTGACCTTAGCCAAGTTAATTCATCTTAGTGTCATCAGCAAATTTGGTGATGTGGTTTGTAATCTCATCTATATATTAAATTGTATGTACGAATGTATATTGAATCTATATATTAACACTCGCTCTTTGGACACCGATCACGTCCATTTTTTTTCTTTTGAGTCCTAGCCATGGACAGGACTCGCGTCCACTACAAAAATATTTGTATAAAATTAATTTTTTATTTGATACCAAAATGAAAGATGTAACACGAAACTTGATGTCTGAACACTTGAAAGATTATAAATACGTTTTTGGGTCTAAATTTTAAATTTTAAAATATTTGTTAAAATTCCATTTTAATTCAGTGAACGTATGATGTTTTGTGTCCGGTTCAAACAAATCAGTTGTGTCCGATGAAACAAATAGTATTGTTTAACTACTAGTAATTTAAATCTTGCTTCTAATTACAAAATTTAGCAATAAACCTGGACACATTTTTATATACCATTTTTTTCCTATATAGGTTGTGTAATTCATGAAAGATTGTACAAGATCTCTGGTGGGATTGCCCGAGTCAGTTTGTATTGTGAGCAGGCTCAGTATCTTGACGTGGTGAAGAAATGGCAAGCCTGGGTAAACTGGCATGGAAGATGAAGCCCCTTCACCTTCACAACCAGTTCCCACTTGTGGCTAGTCTTTGGAAAGGTTAGTGTATATTCAGACGAAACCAAAATGGCATGTATGTACAGTAGAGTAGTGTCTGTTTTTTTGGCCATTTACTTTATTTTAGTTGATTAAACATGTATAAATTATATGAATTTTTTGTTTAAACATTATGGTATAAATGACTTGATATTAATTATGAAATGACATCACAGTCTATAGATGCAATACTTAATATTACTTAGATTATATTGATGGCTAATTAAAATAATTGGCACAACCTAGTTGAATCCTTCAAGTACTGGTGGTCAGCTAGGTAATTATTTCTTACATTTTTAAAAGAAATTTAACCAGTATAAGCAAGTGCAGTATATTCAGTATTATGCTTATCTTTCAACACTATTGTACAATACTGTACTGTATTTTTGTAGTGACATACAGTACTTGAACTGTACATGGTATTCAAGGGTTATTTCCAGACTGAAAAACCAACATCTGCCATCCAAATGTTTAGTGGTTCGTATTATAGGAACCACTAAAGTTTAAAATCTGACAATAATGTATTAGAGTAGAATGAAGTTCCACCAAGTTTTAGATGTTTTCAATTGATTTAAGAACTGTTTTGGTTGCTGACAAAAAGACTTCTAGGCTTCTGTTGTCAGATAAGTTTCATAATGCTCCTTTTCAGAGGACTATTCTTATCAGTTATCAGCCTAAACATGTTTCATCTATCTAATAAAAACATAAACATTCTCAGTGGTCTACCTACCTGTTGAATACCTATTGATTCTGAGGATCAGCTTTCCCATGGCTTGATCTGACCAGGTCTCCTGATTGCTGGTCTTATCTACCAGGCTGTTCAATGCAGCTGTTCACAGCCTAATGTACTAGTCACAGCCTGGTTGATTTATCCTTTGAAGGTGCTTGTTGAGTTCTCTTTTGAACACTACGAGAGGTCAGCCAGTTATGTGTAGGGAAAGTGTTGAAAAGTCTTGGGCTTTAGATGTTAATTGAGTTTTTGCAGTGTGTCTATTACACCTTTGCCTTTGTGTGGGGATAATTTGCATATCCTGCCATGCTTTCTGGTCTTGTGTAATTACCTAAATGTAGTTACACAATAAGCTATACTCATGGTGTCTTGTCTTCCCAGCCACTGTCATATAACTCTTTGAAACGACTGATGATTTTGTCCTCTACCACCACCTCACTTGGTCTGACCGTCTACCCGTTTGCAAAAGTGAATATTCTTACCTTCTGCAGCTTTGTTTAGTTAGCTAAAATCTGTCCTCATATTCTTGAAGTACCAGGTCTTAGGAATTCTTCTCTATCAATTTTTTTGAAAATTTGATTTCTAATATTAAATGATCATTTTCAGAGAACCAGATACAATGTCAATTCTAGAGAACACCATAGAGAACATAGATGTATCTTGAGACAAAATGGAAAAATTACTCGAGGAGCTAGGAAGAAATAGAGTAGTTGGACCAGATGGGGTTTCACCTTGGGTTCTGAGAGAATGTGCAACTGAGCTGAACATTCCACTTCAATTGATATTAGACATCTTTGTGTAGAAGAATCTGAGAAGACATAAGGAAAAAAGGCAAACATGGTTCCAATCTACAGAAGTAGCAGCAGGGAAGACCTGTATTGATGACAAATGTAGTCAAAATATTGGAAAATGTAATTAAAACCAAATTGGTAGAACACCTGGAAAGAAATGATAAATAAGACATATAGTATGGTTTTTGATCAGGAAGATCCTGTATAACAAAATCTACTTAGTTTCTATGATAGAGCAAAAGAGATTTTACAGGAAAGAGATAGTTGGGTTAACTGCATTTATCTGGACCTAAAAAAGGCTTTTGATAGTATCTAACATAAGAGGCTGTTCAAGAAACTGGAACATACTGGACAAGTGACAGGGATGCTTCTAACATGGATGGAAAATTTTGACAAAAATGACAGCTAATATCTGGGCTCATGCTTTTGGGGCTCCAGGAAGGTGTTGACCTCTCACAGGTAAGCTCAGGCCATATATTTCTTTATCCATTTGTTCTTTTTCAGAAATGCTGGTCTTCTTTGCCAAGGCATTGTTGTGAATTAGGTTTGGGCTTTTCCCAAACCAAACCAAATTTAGAGGCCGCCTGACAGCTGGGTGGATAGCCCTTGGGATTCGTAGTGCTAAGGTCCCAGGTTCGATCCCCGGTGGAGGCGGAGACAAATGGGCAAAATATTTATTTCACCCTGATGCCCCTGTTACCTAGCAGTAAATAGGTACCTGGGAGTTAGACAGCTGCTACGGGCTGCTTCCTGGGGGGGGTGTAACAAAAAGGAGGTCTGGTCGAGGACCGGGCCGCGGGGACGCCAAGCCCCGAAATCATCTCGAGAAGATAACCTTTCCAGAAATCATGAATGAAATGCCAATTTCAGATGTCTTTCAGTAGCTTCCAATTCCTGCTGTGTTCCATTTTTTCCATGAGGTAGAGGAGTTCAATTTGGGCAGCTTGTAACAGATGGAGTAGGTTAGATGGAACCTCAGGTGACCTAAGCTGCCACCTGGTGGCAGTCAGTCACATTGCCTTTAAGTTGTTCATACTACAGCAGTGAACATCATTATCTCTTGGTACCTTAATTTCAAGTGGTTGCTTGTTGTATTGGGCTTATGCTTTCTGGTGGGGGGGTTTCTTTTTTTGGGGGGATATCCATTTCCCAGGCTCCCCTCATCATATAGAGAGCTAGATTCTGATCCTGATTAAGCATGGATGGGTCCCCTAGACATGGCTAGACCAGTGCTTAATTTGGAGAGCTGTATAGTTACATTCAGTGGTTGGTGGTTTATATTTTGACACCATGTGTGCTATTTTCCATTTGTCAGATTTATTCCAGGAGCAGCTTCCACACTTCTAGATATTTGTTAAATTTCTGTATACTGTATAATTAATGTGATAATGTGTGTAGAGAGGAAAAGCATATGCTGAGTTCAGATGATAGTGAACTATGTGCAATGAAAGTCCACTTCTCAATTATTTTGCTTAGAAATTCCTAACATTTAATGAAAATTTTTATTTTCAGGTTCATTTTATGAAGGAAAATACTGTATACGCAGAATTCTGTCATGCAATCATGTTAGAAGTTTTGGCTCTACTATTCCAACATGTGGCGATCAGATCACTAAAAATTCAAAATCATCTGAGACGCCGTTATTGAAGCAGTTACAGGCTCGTATCAAAATGTCAGGTGAGATGCATCAAAATTACCTTTTCACATTTGAAAATATTTGTTTAATGTTTTTATCGATTGATTTGTAGAGTATATTATTGATTAAAGTGCAGTTCAGTTAATTAATAGGCATTTTTTCCTCCAGGACCTTTGACTGTTTATGACTACATGAAAGAGGTATTGATTAATCCAGTTTCAGGATATTATTCTGCTGGCCAGGATATGCTTGGAAGCAAAGGAGACTACATTACTTCACCTGAGATATGCCAAATGTTTGGTGAAGTGAGTATTTTATTATTTTTTTTACTGTAACCTTATTTTATGTTCAGTGTATCTTTCAGTACCTTATGTTCAACCAGAGATGTAAATAGTCTCTGTGGTGTAGTGGTAAGACACTCGCCTGGCGTTCCGCGAGCGCTTTGTCATGGGTTCGTATCCTGGCTGGGGAGGATTTACTGGGTGCAAATCCTTAACTGTAGCCTCTGTTTAACTGAACAGTAAAATGGGTACTTGGTTGTAACAACGATTCTTCGTGGAGGTCGTATTCCAGGGACTTTCCCGAAACGCTTCGTGTACTAGTGGCTGTACAAGAATGTAACAACTCTTGTATATATCTCAAAAAAAAAAACAAAAAAAAAATTGAAATATTGTTAGCCAAAACATTATCCTTTCAGGTAATTAACAAAAATAAATGTACAGTATATAATTCTAAAAGGTAAAATACAGGATGTTTTATGAAGGAAACTTGCAAATTTTGGACAGGCTCATTTTAATATTTTTGCTTCTAAATGTAGGACATCTTTGGTTTTGCAGGAATGCAATATACAGTAGTAGTTTTTAGTCCTTATAGGGTTACCATCTGGATTTCTTCCTGGTTAGTTTTCCTCCATTTTGATTTGAAACTTTAAATATTTTTAATTTGATTAAAAGTAATTATGGCTGCTGCTGAAGTTAAGCAAATAGCCCTGCATAGAAATGCAGTTTTCTTAGAGAAGGTGCCTCAATGCTTTGTGTGGCCCATCCAGGATTCTTATCCACCAGGCTTTTGTCAACCTTGCCTCCCATGATAAGAAGCTATAAATCGTATTGTTAGGTGTCTATGAAAGCCAGACGGTGTAGTCTAACTCAAGCCACCTCCAAGTGACCGACTTTGTTATCTTAGAGAGCAATACCATCAACACCCCACGAAGGCAATAACTAGAAATATTGAATGCTGAACCTCACTCTTAGCTACCAGTTGAGAACCAAGATGCCAGTGTGAGAGCACCTGCCAACACAACAGTACCAATGGAACCAACAACTCACTTTGGCCCTAGTGTCTGCCCATTATAAACAAAGGCTCTGCAGTGGCTGATAAATTTTCTGACTTTATTTTTCCTGCCATTTGTGTTGGGGACCTCATTGCAGAGCAGAATTATTCTCTTTTTGGAGGTTGGTTTCTCTATCTTGCATGTGGTACTAGGTCTCCACCACCACCTGGCTGTCAGGCAATACTCAACCTTCCCTCCTTTTCTTCCAGTTAATTAAGTCAAGTCTATCTCTTCTGTTAATTAAGCCCTGGGCTCGTGATTTATCAGAACTTCTCTTGAAATTTGGCCTATACATTTTGGAAATTGATGCATGCTTTTCTCTCTCATAATTTATCCTAGACATCACTGTGTATCCCTAAGTTGTTTATCTGATACTGGTTGGCAGCTGGGTACCTGTGGTTTCTGCAGTGGTTTGGCTTCTCTATTATCATCGTACAGTACTATTGTACATATATTGGCTCAAATAAGGGCCCTTTTATATTTTGTTACTAATGTTTTAGTGGCTGCTTGCTGTGGAGAGCTGGTTTAGGTTGTATCTTGGGGGATCCTTAGCTATGAAATGGGTTATTGCAAATGGTAACACACCATTTTCAGATGTTTCGCTTGTCTTTTTTTTTTTTTTTCCTCTTCTTGCCCGAGCTTTCTTGGGTGGTCTGAGCATTGTGGAGGCTGCTGATACTTGTGGCGTTTGATAACTTTTGGAGGTGTTTAGTGTACCATTAATTCTGAACTGGTAGCAAAAACAGTAATTGGCATTCCATGTTTCTAGTAATCACTTGAAGGGGGTAATAAGGGTGTTGCACTTTCATTATTATAGGCAATTGTTTGGAGGTGGCTTGAGTCAAACTCGCCACAAGCTTTCTTTCCTAAATATGAGACACTATTTGAAAAGTTGCATGTCAAGGTTGGGCACAAGGTTGGCAACAGTTGGACTATTTGGGGTATAGCTTGGGAAGCATCAGAGGGAATGCCTTAGAAATGGAGTCACTTTGCTTTACACTATCTTTATTCATGAATGTTCAGGTGTTAACATTTATAATTGTTTTCAATGTAAACAGAGTAATTTTAATAATTTAAGAATTACTCACGTTAATTATCATAGATAATACATCACAAGCAGGTACTAAAAAGCACAAAAATAAAGGATGCTGCCTAAGATGAAATGTACATAATGTTCTCAATTCTCTTCCACGGGATCCAACTTAAACAGTACAATACTGGGTATTTAGATTGATTGTCAGCAAACTCATTCTCTGTGGCCTGGATTCCTTGTGTATCTTGCTAAGAGTATCCCTGTTGACTTGTTTGTTTTATTATATCCTGCAGACCGAGAATGCCTGAAGAGAGCTAATACTGTTAACTGGATGGGTGGCTTCTTTATTGCAAAAGATCATTAGTCTGTAAATTATTTATTTTAGTGTAGGTGTGGACATAGGCCTCGCAGCAAATCACAATGAGTGCAAGGAGAGACACCTAAGTTATGGCTGTTCCCTTCATGCTCAATTTTGCTTACCAAGGTCAGCATTGTGAAGGGCTCCTGGCTTGTGCTCATAAAACTGAAACACTTAAATTATATTTTCAACCAGGTATCAAGATGTCCACATTCACTTGGTATGACATTTGTGTAGACTCTGGTCTAAAATGGAATTCAACACATTTATAAGCAGGACATTTAATATAATAATCCCAGGAGATAACAGAACCCTTACATGGCTTTCAAGTCTTCATGGAATACACCTGTTATCAGTCATTCAAGCTAAATTAAACATATCATTAACTAATTAGCACCTTTAGCAATCTTACAGGGGCCAGTCAAAAGGTTACTTATGGTGCCAGTGCCTAGAATGTGTCCTTCCCCCTTCATAATCCAGAGGACTTGGTGGATCTAGCTTTAAGGGGCCGCAAAAGAAATGTGTGCTCTAGTCAAAATACTACCCAGAGCAAAGTTAGCAATATTTGGAATAAACAAAATGCCTGAATCTCAATCTTCACATTATTTACAGGTGTTATGATATTGTTCTGCAGCTTGTAGGTGTGTGGGTATACAGTGAGTGGTACAAGTTGGGATCACCGAAGCCACTGCAACTAGTCGAGTTGGGACCTGGACGTGGAACCCTCATGGAGGATGTTCTAAGGGTCAGTTTCCTTCAAAATGTACTTAGACATTTCTTTGTTTTGTTACCATAATTTTCATATTAGGAGGAACAAAACTGGATTCTGAATGTTATTAAATACAGTACAGATATAATTGTGGAGTCACAAAAAATGAACAATGTACTGAAGATTTATTTGCAATACAGGCATCAGAAAGCTTGCATGATTAACTTAATTAGAATCCATATTAAAAAAGATGAGGAATTGGGGTAAGTGCTATGGCAAATAACTTCAGGTCTTGCTCATGTGCACAAACTCTGTCTGAGAATATTGTATTTCCAAAACCCATGAAAGTAGGAAACAGAGTAGCCCAATAATAATAGATGTATGCTTCTAAAACATTTTATTCTTGTTTAATTCATTTTTGAATAGGTGTTAAAACAGTTTGGGGAGGCAGGGAGTGATCTAACTGTGCATTTAGTGGAAGTATCAGAAGAATTGAGTTGCAAGCAGGAAGAGAAATTATGCAGAGTGGCTCAATCTCGGAAGGGTAAGTTTACTTTTTTTTTTAATACGTTTCAGTAAATAAAGTTTTAGCTCTATTGATTATTTTTACTCTTTATTGTTTTTAGATTTCAAAGGACAAGTTGATAAATGATTACTGCTTAACCCTTAAATGATTATTGACCTCATTTGAGACATTCTGAAGCAATCATGATTAGCCTTGTATGAGGTTTTATTCCAATCTATAGCACTTGACACTGGCTCTCTCCTTGACAGCATTGTACATAATCAGGGGCAATTGAACAGCAGGAATCTATTCCTCCTTGGTCATACTGGTGCAAAGATGTTGCTAGAGAAAATTCAAACTACTCTAGAATGTCCTAGATGGCTCATTCATATAAACTTAAAGCCCTTCCACGCTCTTTGTATCACAGGAACTGCAAAGTAGTTGTTTCGTGAACTACTAATTGGATCACATGGCCACTACCCCTGACTGCCTCCAGGTGTCAGCACTTTCTGATTGGTGTCGAATGTAGTTTAATTTGTAGAAAATAAAAACAGACCTTGATTTAGTTTCTTGTGTTTATCATAGTAACTTTGTTTTTCATTGTGCAATGGGCTGATGTTAATAGTGGACTCGGTTCAGTTGGCTGTATATCTTTGGATTTTTTCTTTGACCAGTTCTCAATCCTGTGCTTATTATACACTAGCAGTGATTGAATTTATCACTGCTGTAAAAGCTCCTTTGACTTTGGTCACATTATATGGGCATTTTTACTGGGCACAAGAATTTGTTTGTTTAGTTGGTCATGTGAGGGGTAAGGGTACAACCCTGGTTTGTGCCTTAGAGAGGCTGCAGGATCCAGAAAGTTCAGTAGAACTTCGGTTTTCTTTTGGCCATGTCGTAGCTCAGTCGATTAAGGCAGCGTCTGGGATGCTCTCGGACGCAGGTTCGAATCCTCGTCACAGCCCTTGTGGATTTGTTCATGTATAAGCAGTGATTCTGTCTGAGCCGATCTCAGCAGTCTGTTAACTTGCAGACGTATGTACTGAAATACTGTTGTTAGCATTGGAGATAACCAAAAGATTAATATGGGGAAGTTGCATGTGGGACTTCTACTTCATGAGATGCAGAATGATTGAAATGGACAATGTTTAGAGAGTGCCAGTCTTGTATTATTATAATGCATTTATTTCCTTGTCTTCTTAACAGATATGCCGGATGAATTATACTATAAGAAAAGTACTACAACTGATGGATCACCAATATTTTGGTATAGGCACTTGAGCAGTGTCCCAAAAAATTTCTCGGTGTTTCTTGCTAATGAGTTCTTTGATGTGCTACCCATTCACAAAATTCGGAGAATGGAGGAAGGATGGCGAGAGGTTCTAATCGATATAGATGAAGGAGATGGGCCTCATCACCTACGTTATGTTCTTGCCAGAGGTGCTACACCTGCTACAAAAGTTTTTATTCAGGTGAGAAATTATTGTTGTGGTTAAAAACAGTTAACCTATCATTTTGTTTTCATGCAATAATAGTGCTGTGTAGATGATTAATATCTTAATAATGGTCGATAATTTGTCATAATAGCCTGAAGAAACGCGTGATGAAATTGAGGTATGTCCAGAAGCTGCAGTACTTTGTGAAGAGCTGGCCAGCAGAATAGAAGATGATGGAGGTATTGCACTCATTATGGATTATGGGCATGATGGTAAATCCTCCAGTACTTTCAGGGTTAGTAAAATTTGATACCCATTACAGTAATAGGAATAACCATGTACAGCATGATAACATCACGTGTGATAATTCTTTCTAAATTAGAACAAAATCTTACATTTTCAAATAGCTATATCTTTTTACCATATGGAACATGTAATGTGCAGTATTTATATTTTGAATAATTAAGCAGGCCATTGCCTTGTTACTTTGCATAGTAAAATCTGCTGGTTACTCTGGTAAGGCCATTCTAATTATAGCAATTAAAGTTATAAATGTTAAATACAGTTAAATAAAGTTAAATATAAATGTCAATACAGTACAATTAACAATGCTTATTGCATGAAAGGTTGTTGGTGACAATATGAAACTATTAAAGTACAGGAGAATGAAGTTTAACATTGATTTTCATCATACTTGCTAACAGGTGGTAGAACTTAAGAAAAAAAGTCTAGATGTTGAGAATGACATAATGATCATTAAAGTAGGTAGGGTATCTCATACATGAAAACCTTAACACTTATTGTTAAATATTGGTCAGTGATATAACAGAAATGTGATAATTTCAGGCATTCAAAAATCACGAGCTTCATGATCCACTATGTGAGCCAGGTACAGCTGATCTAACAGCTGATGTTGATTTTGCTTATCTGAAGAGTCAAGTCCAGGAGAGGGTGATCACCTATGGCCCGGTTACACAGTCCTCATTCTTAACAAATATGGGCATAGAGATGAGACTTGCTGTAAGTTTTACTATGCTTTTCTTAGGGTTGTGTGTGTAATCTTAATAGCTGTACCTTATCAGATTTATAATTTTATAGTTAAAGGGTATTGAGAGTAAGTATGATGCACGTGTTTGAGGCAGTTGCTGAGTAGTATTAATTTGAATGTAGAGAAGCTAGAAGCTGTTGATAAGTTCAGGTCATAGTACTAGTAATTGGAAGTAACATGAAACAGAAGTGAAAATTGAAAGGCAAGCATCTTTAAGGCTTGCATGGGAAGATAGATTCGTAGAGTTTACAAGATGTTTGCATAGACCACGCCCCCTCGGTGGATGGTGCCTTGGCGCAGTGAGGGGACTCTTGTATGCTGCTTGCTGGTATGAGGGCATAGTTCCTGCTCCCTTGTCTTGCCTGCTGTGGTGGTGCACAAGCAAAATACATACCCATATGTTAGCTGTGTATGGAGACTTGTAAATGCCCTTATGTTTATCTGAGAGTTGAATCTACCTAGTGGCCGCAGCCCCTTAGGTTGGGGGGCAACATGCTTCTTTAGTGGGTAAAACAGGAGGTTCAGTCTGGCCTGAACCAATCAGCTTGTCTGGTTAGATCTGTCTAGTTAGACATTGGGTCAAGTTTGCATTATGGGGTTGGTATCCCTATTGGTCCCTCAGTGGTTACTCACGTATACTGTGCCGGTTAGCCCTGAGTTAGCCAGTTAGCTGCCCCCCCCCCTCCCCAAGTCAGGCCGTGTTGAAAGATTGGGATCCATGGTTCTAGTAGTGGTGGGTCCAGACTAGGCTTTTTCTTGGACTACCCCAACTGATCCTCTCCATTTCCCTCATATTTCTTTGGCAGGGTTGAGCTTCAAGCCCCTGGTGATGACTACTGACTATCTCGTCACCTGGTGTGGCTGTCTTTCATTGTCACATCTGCGCCGTTTACAATTACTTATTGTAGAATGGAACTCTACTCTCCTTCATGTGAGTTCCTGGCATCAACACTGGTTACATGCGTTACATGGTTACACTGGTTACATCAACACTGGTTACATGCTTCATTCTACCTATGCTACATTCCAGAATTTGTTTGGTCACGCTATGTAACCAAAGTGTTTTGATCTTTATCATGAACACACCTGCCCTGATGTGCACATCCATTAGCACTTTGTGGATACCTAAGTTACTTTTAACTTGGATACCCTACCCAGACTAGCACATGTATAATTGTAGCCACTTCTCAGGAGGCAGCTGCCCGCCTAGCTACTTCCCTGCAGTGGTGAGACCCCAATTCGGGTGTCCAAAAATACTCAGTAGAATGCCAGCACTGGTACTGTTGTTCTACCCTACCATGATGTAATTGGAGAGAGACCTCAAATACTGTTACGAGGATATTAAATATATCCTTGAGCCCCAGGACTTTTCTATCCTCTAGACTGACAACTTCACTCTTGCCCCTCGTGGTCATTGTCATCAACCTCTCAGAGTTGTTAAGATCACTTTTCACGGTAGGACCCTTCCATCTTCTGTCATTCTTGTCAATGCCAGATGTTCTATTTAGGAGAACATTCCTCTTCATGCCTCTGCAGTAGATGTCGGAAAGTTGGTCAGGGTTCTTCCAGGTGCAGCACTGAGATGTCCCATTGTTCCATGTGGTGACCCTGGACATTCTCTTACTGATTCTTCCCAAGCTTATTATATCTATAGTGAGGCCTGCCCTGCCATTTTCTGCATGTCCTTGCATTTTAAATTTGAACAGGCGAGTCTCTCTCCTTGAAACATTGCGATCATACATCTTTTCCCAAGGCTCGGCACCAGGTCTGTTGTCTTGACACGCTACTGTTGTTTTTTCTGACCACACCTATGTATGTCGCCTGCCTCCAGAGACAAGCATCTTCACGGCAGAACTTTATGCTATTCTCTATGCTCTTCGTCTCCTGCTTTCTCGCTGTCACTCCTCCTTTATGGTTGTAGATGACTCTCGCAGTGCCCTCATGACTCTGGAGTCCTTTAATCCAGTCCATCTGTTGGTAGTCGAGATTCAGCATTGGCTGTTTCTTCGAGATTCAGCATTGGCTGTTTCTTATCTCTAGTAGATTTAAGATGGTTGAGTTTTGCTGGGTTCCCAGTCATATTGGTGTCTTTAAATGAGCGTGCGGATGCTGCCACTAGAGAAGCTATCCGCACTTGTCCCATCTCCCGTAAAGGCATTCCTTATTCCTTCTGTCTTCTAGTTTTTCTTGTCTTCTAGTTTTGGCATATTTAATGCCTCTAACCTCTCCTTGTAGCTCTTACCCTTCAGTTCTGGGAGCCACTTAGTAGTATGTCTTTGCATCTTTTCCAGTTTGTTGATGTGCTTCTTAACACTTTCGCGCACCGGGCGCGCGACCTCTCCACTATCCCAAAGTGGCCTGAGTGTTTCACTGGAGCGTGCGTAAATTCAGAAAAGTGTAAATTCCTCTTTTAAAATTTGTCACCTTAATTTTCGTCCTACGATATTCAATTTGGTATCTGTGTTCGTAATAGAATTCTCTAGCTGATGAAATGCATATAAGCTCCATAAGCCTGGCTTACCACCCGCAGCAAACAGAGAAAGTGCGAGCGAGTGACCCGCGAGCGCTCGAGGGATAAAATGTTTTCAGTCTTCACTCTGGTCACCTCAATTATCGTCCTAGGTCTTTCATTTTGGTATCAATGTGTTCACAATAGAATTCCCAACAGGCCTATATGCATATAATATAAAAAACAGCAGCGATCTCCACCCGCCGACATGATAAAAACAGGCCGCGGTTACAAGAGAGCGCTGCGCCACCCCAAGGCGCTTCTCACTATGAAAAGTGAATGATCTTTTCAACTTGATCTCAATTCTCGTCCTAGGTTTTTCAATTTGGTATCAATGTGTTTGCAATAGAATTCTCTACAGGACTAAATGAATATAAAGGCCAAAAGCCCGGCAAGAAAGTGAGAAAGTGAGAGCGTGTTACCCGGGAGCGAGCCAGAGCAATAAAATGTGTACTCTCTTCACTTTGGACATCTCAATTCTCATCTTAAGTCTTTCATTATGGTATCATTGTCTTCGCAATAGAATTCCCTACAGGAGTATGCAAATATAAAGTCCAAAAACCCAGCGTAGCACCCACAGCAAACAGAGAAAGTGACGGAGCATAATCCCAGTGAGCGCCAATAAAATGGGTATTCTGTTTTCAACTTTGTTACCTCAATTCTGGTCCCAGGACTTTAACTATGGTATCAATGTATTCGCAATGAAATTCCCTACAAGCGTATATGCATATAATGTGCAAAACTGCAGCAAAACCTTCCCGAAAAAAAACGCTATTGTTGCCGCGCTTAGGTCTCGATGCTGAGTCCTCGCCGGACTTGCCCCTGTTTTGCGGAGGACTCAATGCTGAGTTGTCGCCGGGCGGAAGTGTTAAGATATGAGCACCACACAACCACTGCATATTCTAGCTTTGACCTAACAAAAGTCGTGAACAATTTCTTTAGTATTTCGTCATCTATGTACAGTATTTAAAAGTAATTCTGAAGTTAAAAAGCGTGGCATAGGCTCCTTGCACAACGTTCTTTGTGGTCCTCGGGTGATAGTTTTCTATCTAGAACCGCCCATAGATCTCTCTTATCGGAATTCTTTAAAGATTTCTCACATAATTTATAGGTTGTGTGGGGTCTATGTTCTCCTATTCCACATTCCATAAGATGCCATTTATGCACATTAAATTCCATTTGCCAAGTGGTGCTCCATATACTTTTGTCCAGGTCTTCTTTTAGGGCATGACAATCATCCTTATCCTTCCTATTATCTTAGCATCATCAGTAAACATGTTCATATAATTCTGTATACCAACTGGTATATTATTTATGTAGACAATGAACATCACCAGTGCAAGTACTGAACCCTGTGGTACTCCACTTGACATTTCTCCAGTCCGATACATTGCCTCTGATTACTGCCCTCATGTTTCTATCAGTCAGAAAAATTTTCTTCCATGTTAGAAGTTTACCTGTCACCCCTCCAATATTTTCCAGTTTCCAGAACAACCTCTTTGTGGAACTCTGTCAAGCCTTTTTTAGTTCCAGATAGATGCAGTCAACCCAATCATATCTTTCCTGTGAAATCTCTGTGGCTCGATCATAGAAACTGAGTAAATTCGATACACAGGATATTCCAGATCGAAAACCATACTGTCTGTCTGATATTATATCATTTCTCTCCAGGTGTTCTACCCATTTAGTTTTTATTATTTTTTCCAATATTTTGACTATTACACTTGTCAATGATACAGGTCTATAATTGAGGGGGTCTTCCCTGCTGCCACTTTTGTAGATTGGAACTGTTAGCCTTTTTCCACACATCTGCTATGACTCCTGTATACAGGGATGTCAGAAAAATCAGCTGAAGTGGAATGCTGAGCTCAGGTGCACATTCTCTCAGAACCCATGGTGAAACTCCATCTGGGCCAACTGCTTTGTTCTTCCTTAACTCCAGGAGCATTTGTTTCACTTTGTCTCTAGACACCTCTATGTACTCTAAGCTCTGGAATTCTTATTGTCTGGTTCTCTGAAGATCTCATTTTGTACAAACACACTTTGGAACTTTTCGTTTAATGTTTCGCACATTTTCTTTTCGTTTTCCATGTATCTGTCCTCCATTTCAACCTCTGAATATTATCCTTTACCTGCAGCTTGATTTTAATGAATTTATAGAAAAGGCCTGGATCTGATTTACATTTGCCTGCTATACCGTTCTCAAAGTTCCTCTTTGCCTCTCTCCTTACTGATGTGTAGTTGTTTCTTGCATCATCTGTCCTCGGGTGGATTTCATTGCCTTGGAATGGAACCATTGGTTACCTCTTTGTTGTTGCCTTTTTCAGTTGCAAGATGCTTGTGATATACACTGTTTGGAATGGGAATGGTGGGACTTTCTCCTTTGGTCACGTTGTTCCTATCTGTGTTGGTTTTATTGGTAACCTGTTTATGTACAGAATCAGTCTGCTGGCTCTGTGGCCAGTTCAGCATTGGTTCCCGGCTCCTCTTATATGTTCTATTTGTGTGTGGGTGTGGAGACCTCACCTCTCTGTTGACCAGTGGTCGGCCATATCAGCATAGATCGTCTTGACCACAAATTTTGATGTCAATAGAGTTTTTAATAGTACTGTATTTTCCATTTTATGATGTGGCAACTTCTTTTTTTTTTTTTTTATGCATTGCATCCCTCCTGATGCCAAGATGAAGTGGCTTCATAGTTCTTCTAGGGCTTTTTTCTCGACAGTTGTCACCAATTTGCGACAATAATCATGTCCTTAATCTTGGCTTAGACTATCATTTCATGGGCAATACTATTTGGCCTGGGCAGTCCCTCTTAATTTTTTGGATGCATTTTCTCTACCCTTCCTCAATCTGTCTCGGGTTACCCTGTTTCTCTAGAGTTTCCTTGGATCAGGTTTTTTCCATTTTTGTCCACATGTTTGATTTTTTTGAACCAAGACTAGTTTTTGGGAAAATTATGTAGCTTTCCCCTCCCCCCACCAAAAAAAAAGTTTTTAGAGGCTGGTAATTAGAGATAATTTATAATATTATGGTGTAATGATACAGCTTGAGTGCAGTGTTATTGCAAGGTTAGTTAAAACACAAATTTAAATGCAGTATAATGTTCATTGTACAGTAATCCATTCTTATTTTATATTCAAATTTGGCATGCTCTATTTTTCAGAATTTGATGAAGCATTCCAAGACTGAACAAGTTAAATCCCTTGTGTCTGGGTATAAGATGTTAACAGAGGTGGAACAGATGGGTGAAAGATTCAAGTTCCTTGCATTTTTCCCTGCAGTTGTGAAGGATTTCCTCCAGAAGCATCCTCCTCCTGGGTTTCACAAGAATCTGGATTGATGTACATTTTTAGTATTGTCTTGTGAAAATGTAAATAAATGTAAAAAATAATCAACTAAAAAAGACATCACAAGGGGTCCTGTAGCACATCAGGCTACATTGTATGCTCACAGCTTGATGGCTGTTTACCAAGCAGTAAATATGGAAATACTGTAGGACTTGATAGAGCCATTGAAGGTTTCATCCTGGAGGTGATTGGTCATTTGCAAAGTAGCTAGAGAAAATAAGTGGGGAGCAAATGGGGGGGGGGGGGGAAATTCCTGAATGTATGTTGACTTAACAGCACTAAAGATTGTTGCTAGCTTGGCACCTTTTGATAATTTGTCAGATCTTGGCTGAAAAAAAATGTTGGAAAGTTGTGTAATCCATGCAATGTGCTCTCATGCATGTTATCCACCCCTAACCCCCCTCCCTTTCTGGCTCATTGTCACTGTGAGGGGGCTTGGTGGGCAGCTGCCGGAGTGTGATGCTCCATGGGTCAGTCCTCTGTCCTTTTGAGACCTTATGCTTCGGCTGCTGTCTTTACCAATTTTGGCCAGAACGCTTTTCCTTTTCCTTGTGTTTCTGGTTTTTCTCCCCCCCCCCCCCCCCCCCCTCTTCTCCTTTCTCATTGTCATTTCCTGCCGACCTTTTGCCTGTTTTGATTATTCTCTTGGACTTCTTCTATTTTGACGCCTGGGTGTTTGGGGAGGCATACTCTTGCACCCGTGGAACTGTAGTACCCGACGTCGAGAGCGAGGGGGAACCTTATATCTGCAAAGCCTACATACCCACCATCTGCCGGGCTGTGGTGGGTATGTGGCCCTGCGGGCTGCTCCAAGCAACAGCCTGGTGGACCAAACTCTCACAAGTCGAGCCTGGCTTGGGGAGTAGAACAACTCCCAGAACCCCATCAAGCAGGTTATATTGTCAATCCTCCTTTCGTCACTGAATCCGATCTCGACGGATTCACGGTTCTTAAGATGGCGTTTGTGGGGCGTATACTCACGACGCACCCCTGGTGGGCCCAGGCATGATCGGCAATAGCTTCTTGTTGGGTGTCCTGCCTCTAATTGTAGCTCCATGGTGGGTGTGGGGGCACATTCGTGAATGAAATTTTTTTCCTCTTTTTCATGGCTGATAATGTTTCCCTTGTTCCTTCTCAGGCTCGTGGGGTGGGCGACCAAGCCCCCGAGTCGGACTGTGTTGGAAGACCAGGCCCTGTAGCCTCTGCTGCACTGGGCCCTGACAACCTGACTACTCCCCCCAGCTCTCCTCCCTCCTCTGCAGTAGGGTCGAGTCCCCCAGCCCCCAGTGGTGACCACCTCGTCCCCTGGCATGGCTTCGTCTCATTGTGACTACTGCGCCTTTTACCCCCTCCCTCTCTGGGGGTTCTCAACCCCGTCCCCCCTTCCCGTAATAGTACTTACAATGCCTTGTTTGGTCCCGCTACGTGGGCTAAATACTTTGATCTCCACCATCTGGATTCTACTCCTGATGATTTCTCCCTCCATAAAACACCTTGTTGATTCAGTAGATGCCTCTGATACTTTTGACTCCACCATTTACGGTGCGTGTGTCGTCGCTGCTCCTTCTCAGGATGCAACTACTCGCTTAGCCGCTTTGTCCTGCATTGGAGAGACCCCTGTTCGGGTCTCCAAAAACGCTCAGTTAAATGCTAGTGTTGGCACTGTTCTCCTCCCACACCATGTTGCAACTGGTGTTCGGGACCTCAAAGATTGTCATGAGGATATTAAACATCCTTGAAGCCCAAGGCCATTCTGTCCTCCAGGTGGACACGTTTACTCGACCCCCTCGTGCTCGTCGCCGTCAGCCCCTTCGAGTTGTAAAAATCACCTTTGATAGTAGGGCCCTTCCGCCCTCTATTATTCTTGCTGATGCCAGATGCTCTGTTCAGGAGTACATTCCCTCTCCTAGACTTTGTAATAAGTGTTGGAAGTTCGGGCACGGTGTCCTCAAATGCACCAGTACTGTGTATCTGTGCCCCATGTGTGGGGACGATAGTCATTCTAAATCCGAGTGCACTTCTCCCCAGGCGCGCTACCTCAATTGCGATGAAGCCCACCCTACCTTTTCACGCTCGTGTATGCACTACAAACTCGAGGAAGCCGTCGTCTCGCCCCTTTCACGGGCGTCTCTTACGCTCGCGTGTTGCATTCTACCTCTCCTCGTCCTTCCCGTCTTCCTCAGTCTCACAACCGTTTCCAGGCCTTAAACCTGACCACACCCACCACCTCCCCTATTCCTGTGCCTCCTGTCCTGAATGATCTCTCTCCCGGTTCTCCATCTGGGGTTTCCCCCCTTCCTACCCAGTCCACCATATTTCCTTTGACTTCTTCCCCATCTCCCCCCACTCTTTCTTCCCGACCCTCCCCCCCCCACCTGTCTGTCCAGGCTGATATTCATCCTCCTCCCAGCAATCTTCGTGTTGTTCGCTCCCGTTCCTCTTCTCCTGCTGAGAAAATTGAGTCTCACCTGGTACGTTGTTACTGGAACGCCTGTCTCTTCGAGTCAGAAACGTACGCCTGGCTCCTCTCCAGCGGGTAAGAAGGTTTCGCTTTCTTCCTCTTCCCCTCCCTGTGACTCACTACATCCCCTCCCATTTCAGTGGTCGAACCCCCCTGTCCCAGATATGGAGGTTTCTTTCGCCCCAGATTCCCTCTCGGTTGCTGCCCTTGCTGTGGTGCACTCCCTGACTTCTGCCCCCCCCCCCCCTCCTCCAGCTGTACTTGCCTGCCCCTCTTGGTTGTCTCCTCCTCCTCCGGACCCCGTCAGTCCGCCTCTGGTCTGTCCTCTCGCTCCCTTCCCTCTATCCTTACTAAGTTTACCCATGCCCCCCTAACCCTGATTTTGCCGACCCTGCTCCTGAGATTCTTTAATAAACTGTGTTCTCTGTACCTTTATTTCTTTCTTGTTCTCCATTATTGTCCTTTCTCTTTGGTAATGTCTATTCTTCAGTGGAATATTCGTGGATAATATGCCAACTTCCATGAACTCCAACTTCTAATTACACATTTTTCACCGCTTTGTGTTTGTCTTCAGGAACCAATGCTTAGTGCTCGTCCTGGTCACTTTCGTGGTTTTTCCTTTCTTTCTACCCACCAGCAAGAGCTGGGGCCCATAACTCTACTGCTCTCTTAATTCGATCTGATATTCCCTTCTTCCCCCTACTTCCATCACCTATCCATTGTTCTGCTGCCCGTGTTTTTGTGGGTAAATGGTATACAGTCTGTAACATTTATCTCCCCCCAAATGTCCCGCTTTCCCTTCCTGATCTTAAGCACCTCCTAGACTCCTTGCCAGAGTCGGTGCTTCTTTTGGGTGATTTCAACTGTCGACATTCCCTCTGGGGTGATGTCCTGACAAACACCCGAGGCCGTCTTCTCGAACTGTTCGTCCTCGCTTCTCTCTCTTCTAAATTCTGGTGAGCCCACTCATGTGGACTCTCGAACTCGCACCCTTTCCTGTCTTGATCTTTCTCTCTGTTCGTCGTCCCTTTACTTAGATTACACATGGCAGGTTCTTGATGACCTCCATAATAGTGATCATTTCCCTATCATCGTTTCTTTTTTCTCTTTCCACCCTCCCCTCTCTTTTCCTAGGTGGCAGTTTGCCAAGGCTGACTGGAGCCTATTTACCCTCCATGCTACTCTCTGACCTCTCCTCTCAGCCTCTTCCTCGCGCCCTCCTTTTTTATGACACTGTCTTCAACGCTGCCCTCCGTTCTATTCCTCGCTCTTCTTCCCGGGGCACACGGAAGTGCGTTCCCTGGTGGAATGCGGACTGTGCTCGGGCTGTCCACTGTAAGCGTGCTGCCTGGAAGAAACACCGCTGCCGGTAAACGGCTGATTCTTTTATTTTGTTTCGGAAGGCAAATGTGGTGACCCGTAGGACCATCCGTACAGCTAAACATGAGAGTTGGAAATCTTATGTTTCCACCATTACGTCCGATACTCCTCTGCCACAGATCTGGAAGAAGATCCACAAGATTGTGGGCAAGTTCGTTCCAAATGTCTCGCCGGTTCTCCACCTCCGTGGTACTCTTGTGGCGGAACCAGTGAAGGTCGCGACCGAACTGGGTTTCCACTTTTCTTCTGTTAGCTCTGGTTCTCATCTTCCTCAATTCTTCCTTCTTCGTAAGCCTGTTCTTGAATCTTGTCCTTTAGATTTCTGCACTCATCTCCGCATTCCCTATAACGATCCTTTCTCTCATTCTGAACTTCAGTCTGCCCCTGGCCCTCTGCGGATCTACGGCGGTGGGCTCGGATGACGTTCATTATGAGATGCTTCGCCGTCTCCCTCCGTGCACGTCTCGGTATTTACTGAGTCTGTATAACCAGATCTGGGAGTCGTCGTCCGTCCCTGAGGACTGGCTTGATGCCATTGTACTCCCTATTCGGAAACCAGGGTCTCTCGGTACGTCCCCTAAGGACTTGCGCCCTATTGCTCTCACGAGTTGTGTTTGCAAGCTCTTTGAGTGTATGGTAAATGTCCGTCTGATGTGGTTCTTGGAACACCATCGCCACCTCTCTCCTTCTCAATTTGGTTTTCGCAAGTGCCGCAGCACAACTGATGTCTTGGTGAATTTGGAGGTCTATATTCGTACTGCTTTTGCTGCGAAGACCTCCGTTGTTGCTGTCCTTTTTTACATAGAAAAGGCTTATGACACATCTTGGAGATACCATATTCTATTCCAACTTCATTCTTTTGGCCTTCGTGGTAATCTCCCTCTCTTCCTTCAAAGCTTTCTCTCTTGTCGTACCTTTTGAGTCAGGCTTGGTACCACACACTCTGCCTCTTTTCGGCAGTATGAAGGTATGCTCCAAGGTAGTGTTCTTAGTACTACTATTTTTCTGGTTGCCCTCAATGGTCTTCTTTCCTCCCTTCCTTCTGGCATCTTCTCTGCTCTTTATGTTGACGATCTTACTCTTTGCTGTCAGGGTGATTCGCCTCTCATTCAACGGCGGCTTCAACTTGCGATTGATGCCATGTCATCTTGGGCCATCAATCATGGCTTCAAGTTCTCTACTACTAAGACTTGTGCCATGACT